GAAAAAATTTTAATCACCCGATTACTACGTTATGTACGTACTCGTATCATGGCTGTTACGACGGCCTTGTTGATAAATCACAAAAAATAAATAGATAAAAAAGGACCATGTGTCGATCGCCGCGGAATCCGGGCGGGCCGTTACATCGTCGGTCGGCTCTCGCGCGTGCTGCGCGAGGGGGAGGGGGGGGGAGAGAATTACACAAGCAGGAGTCGCTTTCACTTGGCACACACGCGGTCGCTCTCGCGTACGAAGAGGGAGGAGGACGAGGAGGAACGGCTTCGCGTCTATTTGCTGCAGCTCCGCTATTTCGGCCGGCGTTGTCGCTCCGTCCGTCGAGGTCGACAACACACGCTCTAATTTGACGTTCTAATTTCGCGTAACCGCGTTAAAGCCAACGTCGCGGAGAGAACGGCAGCTTAAAGAACTGCCGCTGCACGCGAGCGACGGACGAAGGCAGCGAGCGGGAGAGGGGGGGGGGGCGAGAAAGGGTCTCTCCTCGGAAAGGAGCGTAAAGCGGACTGAAATTTAAGTTCCGACCGCGTGTGGTGTGGTTGCGTCGACGCAACTTGCCGAGGATATTCGCCGTGCGAAGGACTACCGTAGGCAACGGAGGCTCCGATTAAATAAATCGCTTCGGACCTCCCCCGCTTTTTCGAGATTTGCCCGTGATTCGCCGCGCTTGTCCGCCGAATTCGAAAAAACAACTTCACGAATATGGCGGATATCCTCCGATCGTTTGCGGTATCTCGCATATCCTGCATATCCTAAAATGTTAACACGTTGACCGTCGCCACGGGGATTATTTCGAGGCTCAGCTCAGGCTCGAGTCGGCAAAGACTAAGCGGCGACTAAGCGCGACTCGTGCGAAGCGTTCGCTCGATCCTTTCATCGGCTGTCATCACTTTGTCACTTGCGCAGTCGGTTGTAACGCAAATTGGCGAGATCTTAGCGGCGATATTACAACGCTGCTGATCACACACACACACACACACACACACACACACACACCGGTGACCAGCATGCGGCAGGTCCGCACGCGTTAATAAAGGGAGCTGCTCGCTCGCTCCCTCACGGACTCGGAAAGACACACGAACGGAAACGTCGGGCTATCAGACAATTCCGCGATTGTCCCGCCGAAAGCTCATCGCTCCACGCCCTAATGAACTTTTACGTAACTCCCGATGAACCCGACGCGGCTCAATGCTTCTCTCTCTCTCTCGGACTTTCTCCTACACGAGTCGCGTCGACGGTGAAACTACGCGCGCGCGCGCTTTTCCAGTCTCATGTGTTTCCTCCGGATCTAGAACTGAGCTTAAGGACCTACCTAGCTACCTACTTACCTACCTATCTATCTGTCTACCTACATACCTACCTGGCCGCCTGCGCCGGAGCAATTACGGATTAAACGTACGACCGTCCCGAGATCGTTCGACGCGGGCGCCGCCGCTCCGTTTCTCACAATCGAAGAATCCAGCTCGAAAGTTCCGGGCGCAGCTCGCGCCGAGATTGAGGTTTCCTCCACCTCTCGTGTGCCGCCCCCTTCCCCCGGCCCCTCCCCCCCCCCTTGAACGCGAATTCGTTGCTTTACGATCGCGATTCGACGCCACTGCTTTCTCCAACCCCCGGCTCGTTGTCGCCGAGTTCCAAACGTTCGCCACCTGTTCCCGATTCCGCGCGCGGTCGATTCACGGCTCGTTTCGGCTCGCGGACGGCGTCTCGTAAAAGCGCTTTACGAGCGGCCGATGGACCGAGCGAACGCTTTCCGTCATTACGAGCGTCTCGCGTCGTTCCCGGGGTACGAGTGTGTTTCGCCGGCGTGGCCGCATTGCGAACGAGCGACCTCCGCGAATATGTCCCGCGGGTGCTTCGCTCGACCGAAAAAGTCCTTCTCGTGCCGGTTGGGTTATCTTGATCGAGAGAGAGAGAGAGAGAGAGAGAGAGAGAGAGAGAGAGAGAGAGAGAAAGGGAAGTCGCGAGAACGATATTTTGCGCAGCCCAAGTCACCCCAAGTTCTCGTCATTATCGCATGTTACTCGTCGCCGTCGACATCCGTCGGATTGCGTAACGCGGAGTCGACGTGGACGGTTTCATCGATTACGGAATTACGGCGCGAGGCACGTACCAAGGCGAGCTGCTGACATAAACAGAGCGCGGCTTGCGTAATCACGCGCATCGATAAGCGCGCGCGCGCGCGTGTATCGTTGGCGGAAGTGCGTGCCGATGACGGCCGCGTGGGATTTCGCCGTTATTCGTGTCACGGCATAAACTAACGGCAGATTTAACTCGGTCTGGCAGGTGCCGACTGGCAGGTGGCCGCGAGTCCTCTCCCGCTGGCCGTCCGTCCTTTTCCTTTCGTCCTTACGGCCACGTGAGTTTCGCTTTCGCGGCACGCGCGCGCGTGTTCGAGTGCATAAATATTTATGCACGGTGGAAGACTGTCGCGATGCGTTCTCGTTTTCTCCTTCCTGTTTACCGCGTCGTAATCACCGTCGGTTCCTTGGCTCGTCGCCGGCACTCTGCAGCAGCCACTCTGACCGCTCTCGCTATTTTCGAAATTCTGCTCGTCGGCGTCACCCGCGCTCACCCGCGGTCCGCCATTTCGCGAGTCCGGCGTCGACGGCTTTTGCATATTTTTGCGTATTTTTGCGTTCCTTCTCTCTCTCTCTCTCTCTCTCTCTCTCTTTCTCCTTGTTGTGGTATATGCGCGCGCTTACGTGTGCTTGTGTGTTTTTCCGAAGTACAGGCGCGATACGGGTACGTCGACTCGATTGCGTCATGTTTGGACTCGAGACTGCGGGGAGACGAAAACTTTCCTCTTCCGGGCTGATAATTTCACGCACCGGTGAGATTAAATAACATTCCGTCCACGTAATCGGCCGCACTCTGGTGATTGCGACAGAGGGCTGACGGATCGCTGATAAATTGCGCGATGCGCGCGACGCGTTCGCGGATCAAGTCGCGATTCAAAAGTTAGCAGCGCGAGTTAACTCGGAACTATCTCTCCTATCTCTCTCTCTCTCTCTCTCTCTCTCTCTCGCTCTCTCTCTCTCTCTCTCTCTCTCTCTCTCTCTCTCTCTCGCTCGCTCTCCGTCTCTCTTTGCCTCTCCCTCTCGAATCTGCGGGAGTGATCGATTACGGTGTTACAAAATATCGGGACCGACCCGTGTCACTTCGGAGGAAGTTCGTCCGCGTCCGGCGAGTAGCCGAGCGCGCACGCGGCGACAACTTGGAAATTTCCAAACGGCGACAACTTCGATCTCGCTTATCTCCGCGTTACACCGGCTATAGTTCGGAATTTTACTTCCACCCCGTCCCGGATAGTCGTCCGTCCGTGAAGTTCCCTTTTCAGCGTCTTCGTGCTCTGCTCCTTCGCTCGATCGGCCACACTCCGTCCGTTATCGATCCGATAACCGTGCCGAGACGCGACGAGACAAGGCGAGGAAGATGCATGATATTTTTTGACGTGCGGCTCGTAATTTCGCTCGCTGAGGTCCACTCGCACGGCTGCCGAGAAGAGTGTCGCCAGCAAGAGTGCGACGGAAAGAGCATGGGCTAGAGGACGGGAAAGAGAGAGAGAGAGAGAGAGAGAGAGAGAGAGAGAGAGCTGGAGGGCGAGAGGTGGACGGGATTACCTGTAGTTGGGTCGCGTTCAAGTTTGAAAGCAGTTTGCATCTTAATTAAGTAATGATACCGCGGCGAGGACAGTCGATGAGAGCGCGCGCCGCTTTACACCTTTGCGCTCTCTCTGTCCCTCCCCAAAGCCGCAATATGCTCGCGATACCGGCTGGCGCCGGGCTACGAGCCGGGCGCGCGCGCGAGCGTGCACGTGAAAACGCGCGAGAGCGCCTCCTTCGTGCTAAACATCCTTAAACGGTTTCGAACTAATTTTCGTGGATTAGAACCACGAAGGTAGCGAGCTACCCCGAGCGTGCGACTTGGCTTAGTATTAAGATGTCTCGTGTTACGCGATCAACAATATCAAGTGGGTGGACTGCCTCTGTGAGAAGGAGATAGAGAAGTAGATACAGCGAGGGGTAGTCGAGGGAGCAGGGGGAGCGAGCGAGGAGGAGAGAGTGACGTCGCGGACGTCGAGGGATCCGGGGGAGAGATCCCAGCCGGAGTCGATGAACTCGCGCGTGCTTTGAATGCGCGCGAGCGTGTGTATTCTCTAAGCGTCCGTGCGCCGACTCGCCGCGGCTTTTCGCCGCGGCTCGCGCGACGCGGAAATGCAATTGTCGCTCCTGAGCGATCCCGGGAAATCTTTGCGGAATATTTATCGCACGCGTCGGCGTCGTGCGTCGGATCGCACGTACAAGAGTTTTCTCCGAGTAATTTATGCCGAGGGTTACCGTTGACTCTCGGGGATGCGTGTCGTGCCGCACACAATGGCGCTTGTAAAACAATGGCAGCGGGCTAAGGAGAAACAAAAAAGTATAGAAAACTCGTCAGACTCTGGATTACGTAGGAAAAAAGGCAGAGGAAACGCGAAAAAACGAACAAATGAAAACGTGTTGCACAACGGAGCGAAAGCGCGCGCGCGCGCGTGCTTGGGGATTTATAGATTACGCGTTTAGCAATCTATAGACGGCGCGAAGCTTCGAATTGAATTGGTAACTTTTTAATCTCGTGTGTATATACACAGTTCTCTAGAGCAATTAAGGCAACCCGCGGCTATGCGCGGATCTCTGCGAAGCTAACAATTTACAGTACGAGCCGGCGAATGGGATTGGAAGATGAATCGGATTAAAGTTAAAAATTCGTGTGTCAGGGAAATCACAATGATGGGAATATATAACCGTCACCGCTCGCGCTCGCGTTGCAGAGTGGTACGGGACGCCGAGCGGTGCGTCCGGGCGAGTTTTTAATTTAAAATCAGCCTCACCTGTTACACACACACGCGAGCGCGCGTATGCATACGTAATCGCATATAATCGCGTCGTCATAAATAGCACAGAGATCCATCTCTCTAACGCGACTTTTCTCTTTTTCTGTTTCAGGTAAGCGAGACTCTCTGCGTTCGATCCATCCAGCGTAAATCCCACGTATGTAATATCGCCTCGCATAATTGACGAGGATAATTGCGGGGCGGTCGCGCGGAGCGAATCGAGCCAATCCTTCGTTCGCTCCGCGCAGAGGCAGCGATTTTTCCGTTTCCTTCGATTCGTCCGGCTGCATCCGATCCGTTGCGCGCGATTGCCTCGCGATTTATTCGCCATAGTGTCCGGATGAGTACACACACACACACACACACACACACACACACACAGACGCACAAGCCGCTGTGCAGCGGCGGCAGCAGCAGCGGGACCGGCGCGAAGCGTCTGTTTCATTAATTCGCCCCACAGGCGTTTAATTCCAGCGTGCGATTCGCTCGGAAACTCCGCGCGCGACCTTTCGGAAAAGCCGAAACTTTCGATACCACGGTAAGTTTTCTCGCGGACCGGCAGGGGGCAGGGAGGTCGACTATCAATAGTTCATTTATAAGTTTGACTTTGCCCCGAGTTCGTCGCTCTATCGCGGAGTATCCGGTTCGCGCTTCGCCCGCGATTTAATGCGCGACTCATTTTTACGAAACGGTGGTCTGCGAAATACACACACACACACTTATACATACAATACGCGCACATGCACTTTTACACACATGGATACATATACACAGAGAGGCAACTTTTTAATCTCGCGTTGAGCTTATCCGTAACGCAGTACGGTATAAACGGCGGAAGATTGCTCGCCAAATGCATCATAAAGTTAGCGGCGCTTCGGAACTTTGAATCGCACGCCTAATTGCATTCCGCAGATGTGCGCGCAAGCGCCGCGCCGCAACAAACGTCCGCCAACGGCTCTGAACCCCCGTTTATTTTCGCCCGTCAGCTAATTCCTCCGTTAAGTTCGTTTCCCATGCTCTGCCGCGCGCGAGAACGGACGGTTCGCCGCTTCGTTGGCCTGTCATTAAGAGATTTGATAAAAATATGTAACCATGTACGAAATTTTTCCTTCTTTCTCGGCGAACTTTTCTTCCGTCTCGCAAGTTACTTACCAAAAGGTAGACTCAAAAATATCTCGAACTTTCAGACGAAGATATTAGATTTCTTCATCAACATTGGATCTCTTAGGTCTAATCTTACATCTTTCAGGTCAGGAATCTTTTCGATAAAAACAGAACTTAAGAATGTATAATTTTAGCACTGGAGGATCACTTTTGTGTCCATCGCGCGCGATTACTTTCGGACTTTAGCGATAATGGTCGAACCAAACGAGCCGATTATCCGCTTCTGAGGCAAAACGGATTCATTTCGTCGTCAAGATCGCGCGAGATCGCGGAGGCCTCGACATATTCGACACTTCTCCCGAGAAACCACAGGACGTTTCGCATATTCTCAGAACGCCGCACGGGAGATAGAATGTTCGATGGGTACGCTAACTTCGTGCGTATTATCGTGCGAGTTGGAACGCGTACAATTTCGGAAAGCGTTGGAGTGGATGGTGGGCGAAGAGCAAGTTCACCACAGCCGAGATAAATCGATTTCGTTGCACGCTCGTGAAAAATCCCACGCGGCCACTCGCGTGCAATTTGTAGAGGAAGAGAGAGAGAGAGAGAGAGAGAGAGAGAGAGAGAGAGATGGATAGATAGATAGGTAGGTAGGTAGGTAGGTGGGTAGGTAGGTAGGTAGATAGATAGATAGATAAATAGATAGATAGATAGATAGATAGATGGATGGATAGTCGGTGAAGGGTCAAAACCACGAACCGAGCGACGTGATCGCGCGGATCGCGCGCGTGCTAATTTCGCGTGCATCGCGTAAATAAACGCGAACGATAATTGAACGCGCGCGGATCGTATTAATATTTGACTACTGCAACGTAAATTCGCGTCCGGGGCACTTGACCCGATAAAACGTTAGTCGCGCGAAATGACGTCTGCTTGCGCAGGATAACGAGCGAAATATTAGTTTGCCTGACGCTTAAGCCGCAAAAAGAAGCCGAAAAACACACGTCACCTGGAGACGCGCGCGCGCGCGCGCGCGCTTGACGTTTTACAACATTTTCAGCGCACAACCCCCGCCGCGAATATTAGCCCGGGACGACGGACGGTCGGCGGCGCGAGCTCGGCAGATTGCCGTTATTGAAACTCTCGTCGGCTAGCTGTCCGCCCGAAATCTGTACAAATACGTTATTGAAGTGCTGCACTTTTGTTTACGCTCGAGTCGTCGTCCATCTCCGAAAATTCGCTATCTCCAAAAATGCACATTTGTCATGAAGCGATAAAAACGCGCGCGCGCGGAGCCGCGCGAAATGCAATCTTTTTGATTTATCGCTCTCGTATTTACCCTGTCGGCTCTCTTGATTCCGCCAAGTGGGATTTGATTAAAAAGCACCGATGCGCGCTGTCGCGCATCCGCTCGCTTCAATTATATGTAAATGCCATCCGCTTTGATTCCGAATCGCGCGCGTGCGCGCACGTGTGCACGTGAACAGCCGGAGAGAAATATTTCTTTTGTCGAACGATTCGCGCGCGCAATTTTTATTTCGAGTGTCGTACAAACCGATACGCGATCCCCCCTCCCCTCCTCTCTCCTCCCCTCCCCCCGCCGTGCCTGTGCCACCGACGGCGGTCGTTGACGCGAGACGGGGAAGGTCTAATTAACGGCAAGGACGGGAAGTTTCTTCAGATATATATATATATATATATATCCTGCTTTGTAGCAGCTCGCGCTGCAGAGCTGCTGACTGAAGCTCGCAACTAACTGAAGTAGCGTCTTTGGAAGGATTCGCTACGTCAATTTATCGCAAATCGACAATGCGTCGCGAAACGTACACAGAACAAGTACGTACGCGAGTCGAACGGCCGCGGCGAGTCGAACCGAATGACCCGAAGTACCGCAACTCTCCCTTTACCGCAAATTGGTACACATAGCGTTCTCCCCTTGCCTAAATTAACGGTACATACTCCATCGGGATTTTCCTACATCGACTACGACGACGACGACAACGAAGACGTCGACTGGCACGACGTTGAGAATACATCTGTCGATGGCGAAATTTGCTTCGTCCGAAATCCCGCAGTTTCGACGCACTTCTCGCTTACTTTCCTTGACGATCGGCTCGGCTTCATGCTATCGATACATATCACGTTCGGCTTCTTCCGTCCGCGCCTACGTTGTCGGAGGATAAGTCAATGCCGGAGGGGGGGGGGCGCACTTGCGCGCCCCCCGGCTCCAGCGAAGCTAACCCCGCGACACTTAGGACTTTTACGTGAGCGCGTCGCGACCGAACGCCCGGGGAAAGCTACGTGCGCGACTCGATGGCCAGCTCTAACGCATTTACAGCGTCGCTGCGCCGTAAAATCGAGCAGTAAAGGGGTTAACCGAAGAACCCATAGCGCCGCACGTTCGTCGATTCCCGAGCGGTAAGCAAAAGGTGGGCCGAGCCGACGGGGTGGGCAGTAAAGAGCTCAGGTGGTCTCGTTCGTGAGCGGACCAGCGGCTGAAGTGGCTCGCACGAGAGGTCTAAGGCCGAAGTTTATTTCGGCGATCCGTGAACCGCGTGATGGCAGCGCCCGTGATGCGTTAATCCTTCCCCCCCCCCTCCCGTGTGCGGATCATTCGGCGCGTCCTTCTCGCTTTGGAGGATTGCGGAATTGGCGGGGATTTCCCGTCCGCGAGAAACGCAGTGGTCTTTCTGCGCTAGGAATTGACGTAGGGAAATCGCGTCGCCTTCGCGTCGGCAGATCATTTTATTTTCCGTTTCGTTGGTGGGGAAAGTGAACTCGAACGACGCCACGAGCTCTTAAACACACCGGAGCGGAATTTGGGACTCGCGAGAGTTCGAAATTCTATTCCCCCCCGACCAAGACAGGCCGCGTTCACCTCGCTCATTGCTAATTCGGCCAAACTTTTTTCCTCGTGTACTTTGCACGACCCTGTGTATGAAGAAAGTGAAATCTAAAGTTCCGCATCTCCCGTGCGTAACTCGGAGTAACTTTGAGCCGAAGTTTTGCGAATAATGCGCGAACTCGCGTGTATTAATTAAGTCAAGTTGACGGATTAAACCGAGGCGAAGCGAGGCAACTCGAATCCACCATCGACGATCTACAACGACGCCAGCAGGATGCACGCGCGAAAATCTCTCACCTCTGCTCGTGTCGAATTCCTTCTCGGGCGTCCCAATCGCTCGTATCTTCGCGATAACACGAAGCCGCGGAAGTTGGCCGGCCGATTTCCTTCCGCTCCCGCCGCCGACCGGCGGGATCCCCTCGACCTGTGCTTGCCCGCGTTTGCGCGAACTGCGAGATATCGACTCTCTGGAAATCCCCTCGTTCAAATAACGTTCAAACTTCGCAGCAAACGCAGCCACGGCCGCGCTTCCGGCTATCGTTGCCCGGCCGCCGGTGGTGGACTTGGCACAAGTATGTGTATACGCGTGTCCGTCGCGAAAGGGAAGAGAGTAAGATAGATAAAGAAAAAGAGAGAGAGAGAGAGAGAGAGAGAGAGAAAGGGGGGGGAGAGATGAAAGAGTTGAGAAACCGAGGTGGTAAGCCATCTTCTCGCGTCTTTGTTGACGCTTTCCCTGCCGGTCGTGTATAGCTTACTTCGCTTCTGCGTAGCTTCTACTTCAGTTAGTTCGGCATATATGTATATACCCACCTACACTGGGTACTTATCTCTCTCTCTCTCTCTCTCTCTCTCTCTCTGTCCTCTATTTCTCCGCACTTTGCGACGACTATTTGCCTCGGAACTCGCCCGCGCTTATCGACTGCTATTGCCGGCCTTAGTCGCGAAGGTAGCGACAGAGTCGATCGGGAACGCCTTTCACGAGAGATAGTAAATGAGAGAGAGGAAGAGAGAGAGAGAGAGAGAGAGAGAGGGGGTGAAGAAAGAAATCAGAAAAAATTAAAAGGTGTAATCCATATCTTTTTCTATCTTGGAATTCGATAACTCGCAGTGAGAACGTTTGTCGCCGTGCCACGCCGCCGATATCTCCCGGACGGCTTGATCCTAGACGATAGACGTCCATTTGTATCCTTTACGTTCGACCGGCTGTAGAGTGGCACCCATCCCGCTGCCATCCTTCTGCGTGCGCTCCGGCGGCGCTCGGCTTCGCCGTCTCGCGTCGTTGTTTGCGCAACACCATTAATAAATCGCGATTACACCTCGCGACGCGGGAATGGAGGCCGGATCAAGCGAGTTGCGAGTTTCCAATCGCCGCGATATCCGGTCGGCGGCGCGACAAAGATCG